CGTTACTTCCAGCACTTGGAGGAGAGGAGCTGGAAACCTAAGGAACACATGTGGCTTTAAGGTCAGAGATGACCCCATCTGATTGACCATGAACACAAAGATGCTTCAGCACAAAGGTAACACAGAATGTCATAGAATTATTAAGGCTGGAAAAGACCACTAAGACTATCATCCACTTGGACCTCAGTGCCACATCTACACGTTTCTTGAACACCTCCAGGAATGGTGACTCCATCACCTCCATAGGCAACCCATTCCTATGCATTACCACTCTTCTGGAGAAGAAATTTTTCCTAATATCCAACTGGAACCTCCCATGGCTCAACTTAAGGTCTTCTCTGGAACCTCTTGTCTTGTCACTGTTAACCTGGCAGCAGAGGCCAACCACCACCTCCCCACAGCCTCCCATCATGCTGATGTTGATGAAACCTCCCCTGAGCCTCCTCTTCTTCAGGCTGCACCATCTCAGCTCCCTCAGCCACTCCTCATGTGATGTATTTTTTCTGACAGTCTTCTAAAATTTGGGCAACTAGTAAATTGTGCTACATGGCAATCGCACAGAGTGCCAAATGGTTGCCAGCTTGTACTGCGTCAAGTCAGTCCCCTCAAGAGATGATCTTTGTCCTTTTTCTTATCACTTGATATAAGAAACTAAATCCAGGTGCTTGTGCATTGGGAATGAGTTTAAACCTGTCTCCCCATGACCTTCACAGCACATAGAAGTTGCACAGTTAGGGAACAGCGATGAGAAATCTGACACAGTTAACACCAGTTGCATACTTTTTTTTAATGTGAAAGCAGAAGATGGATTCATAGCTCAACCTCTGATCAAGAGTTATTTTTCCTTCCCACTCTCTCACAATAGAATTGGGCTGTACTCTTTTCTCTTTTAATATACCCCTCTGCTTCACAGGCTCTGATTTATTCCCTCCCTTGTACAATTTTTCAAGTATCCCACCTCACTGAGAGAGCCAAACCTTGACAAGTGCCTCTACATGCTGGCAGCACAACAAAAGTCCTGGTACAAAACAATGCTCTGACTTACGTCAGCCCCATCCACAGAAGCAGGAACTCATTTGGGTTATTTAGAGCACAGAGATTCATACAAAGGGATACAAAATCAGGGCTGTTAGACAGCGATAAGTAAGAGCTGGTATCAAACAAATAAACACATCCGATCACAAGGTAAAGGAGGACTTCAAAAGGGCTGACCCAATGGCTGCATCATCCACTACTCATGGAAGTCCTTCAGCTTTTCAAGCCAAATCCATCAATGTCAGATAAAAATCAGGAGAGAAACAAGAGAAGCCGAGAGATAATTAACAGAGACCCTGATGTACCTCAAATACATATCTATTTATATATTGTTTAATATAAGGAAAACAAATTAGGTTCCATCCGTTTTTGGTAACAACAATCATTTAACTGTAAATAAATACTCTCTCCTTCCATCACAATAATGAAGCGGAAATAAGAAAGCAATTCAGAAGTTAATGCCACCTCTACTCATTTAGTACCTAGCTTTTACTGCTACTTCACTGAAGTACAGGGGAACACATGGCAAGTCTGAGTCTTGCTATGCAGGAAGTAACACATATTTGTACACAACACTGCACGGCACTGCAGAATCACAGAAGTCTTCAAGCTGGAAGGGATCTTTAAAGACCATCTGGTCCAACTCCCCTGCATTGAACAGGGACACCTACAGCTGCATCAGGAGCTCAGAGCCCCGTTCAGACTTACGTTGAATGTCTCCAGCAACAGGGCTTCAATCACCTCTCTAGAGAAATAAGATGGCTCTTCTTAATTTAGAAATGTTGGTCCGCTGTGTCCCAGTAACAAAGGTGTCAGTCATATATACTGAGTAGATTCACATTTTGCTTTGCTGCTAGACAAAGCTATGCCTAACGACGACTAAAGTCCTCAGTGACAAAAGAATGAGAATATGCTGAGAATACAGAGAGTAAATATTTTATTTCTAAAACAACTCAGATGTCATTAAAAAAAACAGCAGATCTTAGTGATTGCAGAAGATAAAAGTAAATCACAGAATCACCAGGGTCGGAAAAAGACCCACAACCTCATCCAGTCCAATTGTCCACCTGTCACCAGCGGTCCTCACTAAACCATGTCTCTCAACACAACGTTCCTTGAACACCTCCAGGGTTGGTGACTCCACCACCTCCCTGGGCAGCCCATTCCAATGCTTGATCACTCTTCTGGAGAAGTAGTATTTCCTAAGAGCCCAGTTTCCCATTTAGAATGGAAATTTGAGTAATTTCTACTGTACTTTATTAATTTTCTTAAAATTTCAGCTTGGAAAACTACTAATAGCCTTTAGTTCTAACCACCTGAACTCAGAACAGACATTCATTTAATTAATACTTCTTAACATTCTAATTGGAATGGGCATTACATTTAAATAACAGTGCGATTACTTTTTAATTTAGAGGACAGAAAATAAGCCAGTAGCACCGACTGCTGCAGACACTTGTGCTAGAACAGTAAATTACAGCCTAGTTTTCTGCTACAAGCACTGCTTAACTGTTTCTAATTTTACTTCAGTAAAACATACAGTTGTCTTTGTTGCCATCCACTAATAACAACTTCTTACGACCTGCTCTGTTCTGCCTTTGAGCAAAGTCAGGGAGATTTCTGTCACGAATTTTAACCAGAGCAGGTTAAAGATGTAGAACAGTAACTTCTCTCCTGCGTTTCTCTGATTGTCCTTTTCTGTTCTCTGACCACCTTTCCCAAGTTACATGTTTCTGACAGGTAGAAGCAGATTTCCTTCTTTTTGCCTGAATATCCCTTACCCATACTCCTGCACTGTTTCATGCATTTCTTACCTCCTTTGCTGGCAAGCAGGAATATGAATAAAGAGCTAGGAACAATAACAGGTAGGATTTCACATTCTGTTCTCATTTTTTATGATAAACTCATACTACACTTATAAATTTGTTCCTTACATTTCATTTTTTTTCATCCACAAAATGCTCCTTTTGAGAAATAACTTTGCTATTCAGCATTCTTTGTCTACTCCAATATCTTTGTGTAGAACTGCATCTTCAGTACTTCCAAAGTTCATATATTTGACACGGTTTTCTATTTCATATGGTTGAGTACACCAGAGTTTCTAATTAAGGTTCGTGGCCAGGAGCAACAACTAGCAAAATGTCTGGGGAAAAAAAGATACTAACAAAACTATTACCCCTATATGACCTCAGATCACCCTAACTGCAATTCTACCTCCATTCCTTTAGTTTGGTCATCTGCACTTTCCTCTTCACTGAATCACACAGACATCTGGCTAATCATTTTATACTGAGCAGGAATCTGGTGAACCTTGAAAGTTCAACACTGAAGATGGAGGAAAAGAAATTTATGGATACGGTTTTTCCAAATCTTTTTCCTGAGTGCATTATTTCCAAAATACAGCACTGTCTTTCTACTCACTTTGTAATTTCTTTATTTACAGGAAAATAACTCTTCAAATAAAAAAAAGGCACTGCATATGCTAGATGACATTGTTGGCTTCCTTTATGACATCTGAATTGAATTTTCAGTAGCACAGAAACTTGCCTTTTCAACACTCCTTCTGGGGTAACAGCCCTTCCCAGTTACCAGTGCATGTCCTGAATCTCCTCTCACATAATCCTTCCCCACATCTTCCCAATCGTTGAATATTGGTCCACAATGAGAGAAGTTGCACCTACCTGGATTTGTCATGGGATCCTACCTGATTCAGTCCACCAAATGACCCACAGGTTGGGAACGGGTCCTTCCAGCAGGCAGCACCTCCAGCTGCCCCCTGTGCAACAGCATTCTTGCTGCCCCTACCTGCTACGATCTCAAGTGCTATTTTTGCCTGCAGAAGAAGCTGGTAAGATGGCCACAGGGCAGATTTATGTACCATAAAGATTCCTTTCCAAGTGAATTTCAGTAAAAATTCCCAGCTGTTTGCTTGGGCTGCTGTATGCATTTCTAGGAAAGACTAACATGGAAATTCTGGAGCCTAACATAGCCTCAGAAAAGAATTTATGTAAAATAAATGAATAAATATAAACAAACAAACAAAAAATCCTCTGGACTGCATCACAGCGTAGGACATTTTTTTTGGCTTTCTTCTATCCAATAAGCAATGTTTGACCATATCCCACTTCTCTGCTGCCCCTGGCTTGGCTTTGGGGAGGACTGCCATGGAACAAATAAAGCATTGGACAACCTTAACAAGCTCTGATATTTCATTCCCAGTGCTCTGAGTACACTTTGAGGTCAACATAAAAATCTGAGCGGGTCATATATCTGTGCCCTTTCATGCATAAGCTAGAATCAGCAACTTGAAAGATACCCCACTAACAAAGTGAAAAAAGATGTAGGAGGCCTGCTAAGGTAACAAAATAAAGGCAAAGGAAACAAGCTGAGCTGGAAAGTCTCAGCAACCCAAGCTGCCTCCAGCACTAAAGACTGCACACTGCAAAGCATTTTTAAGAGAAAAAAAACCAACACAGCTTTTATTCTAAGCTAGCTTTTCTGCTGGAGGCTAATTATATTCCAGATATTATCTTTCCTTGAATTCTCTTATTTCATTGTTTGCTTTTTAACTACAAATAATCCATTTCACCCAGAAGTTGTGTCAGAGTGCACAGACCTGAAAGTGCTTCTCTAGTTTTCCAACATAGGAGAATCATCTGAACATTAACATATATAAAATGATAGCTAGAAATCTTCAACTGATGACCGTGCAGATTCAGCATGAATCTCCAAATCAGCCACGCATCGATGACTGCAGGAATACAGGGCCAGCACACACATATGTCATATACACATGGAGACCATCATACTTGCAACTATCTAGAAAAAATAATTACCCATTTGCATTCACCATACTTGTTTATAAGAACAAGGAAATTAGTGGCTTCAGTCCAAGTAGGCTTAGAAGAACCACAGAAGCATTTTTCTACTGCAACTGAGTGTTAACGTAACAACTGCAGACTTACCTTAACTTTAAGCACAGAAGAAAACATCTTAGCATCTTCAGACACTCCTCCAATGTACATTTTTTTGGTAAAAACGGGCGCGTGATCGTTTTCATCCTTCACTTCAATAAACACTTTGGCTGTATTACCTAAAACCGGGAAAGAAAAGCAGAGCTGGACAGTTAGGCAGTCAATCTTTAGCACCTATTGGAGACCACGTGCTTACAGCCCAAATGGATCCTGTGAAAAATGTGCACGGATGACACTGTAGAAACAAACATTTAAGAAATGATAACACATCTGGTATTAAAAACATGAGCTTGAAGGAGGTCAAGGAGTTTCATGCTTCTACCCCCCACCTTTGCCATCTTTTCGTAACAGAAAATGAGTGTACACCTGCATTCTGCTACTGTGGCTGGATGAATTTGCACGTAGGCAGAAGGCTGCCATGGCCTTCTTCAGAAAGCAAACACAGGGGATTAGAATAGAAGAGCAGAAGACAGAACAGCATACTTCAGTAACACAGATCTGGTCACATTAAATTCTCACAAGCGTTATAAAGAGGTAATGAACATGCAACATATACTAATAACTAAGCTAGAAAGAAAAGCTTGCCTTTTTCCCTTCACGTGCAACTTGCTCATATATTTTAATTCATACTAACTTCTGTGCAATTACTTAATGAGGAGCTCTGCAGCACTGTCTGTTAGCTCCAGAGGACCAACATGATACTGAACAAGGCAAGTCAATACAGCTCCATCAACACGTGCCTAAGCACGAGTATTAGAGGCTCAAGAAAAAAAATAAACACAGCTGTTAAATAATTACTGCTCCACTGTTAAACAATAAACATCTCTTTCTTCCTGTAAGGAAAAATGGTCCAGCAAAAAACTATGGACCTACTGCAAAGAAAGGTTCAACTGCACAGCGATCAATATCAAGATTTGTTTGCCTCTTTCAGAATCGTGTAATCCATAAAGAATGCTGGAAATGATGGCATCCAGTTCATTAAAACCACATTTTCAAGCGATAAATTGACTCATTTCAGAGTTGATTCTCCCAGTCTCTTTCAGTGCCAGTGTAATTTAGATGCTGCACAGGTGCCATGCTGATTGGCATTCGTTTCCAAAAGCAGGCTCATTTACAAAGAGCTTAGTGCCTCTCCAGTTAGGGGAAAGCTTGTTATAACCAGACTAAATCTCAGACTGCCCACGTCATCCAAAATGTTGCCGGTGAGGAGTCCTGATGCAGGCAAACAAACATGGAGTTCAGAATATCAACGGGAATTTGAGAAAACTATTTAAAATGTCATCCTTTACCCCAAGCCACAAGGAAAAATGACTTCATACAAAGTTCTCTCTTTAAACTCACAAAAAATAAGCCACAGGCCAATAAAGAGATTTAAGCATCTGAATATGCATAATGTTGACACAGTGATCTATCTTTAATCATGTTCAGTTTGCTTGTTTTAAAAGAACGCTTCCATCTTATTTATTATGGTGAAGAAAAACGCCCGTCCAAGAGCTGTTGTAAGACTGCATGAGAATTCAGTCTCAGTTAAAAACTGCAGCCCCATAGAGAAGAAGGCAATTTCAGCAGGATTGCAGCACTGCATGCAGTGACCTTCCCCTGCTGAGCTAATAGACAGTTCCATCAGTGGCTGGCACCAGTTTTCTACTGTAAGAAAGGGCCCAACTGCATCCCATTCGGAGTAGCATTTGCTAACCAACACTAACTCTCCATAATGCTCATCAAATATCTTCTGTATAGAGCTCACAAGTGGCATCATTTTAAGCTGGTTTGGGTGAGGAGGCTGAGCCTTGTGCAAAGTTTGCTTTGCAATTTGCTCGAGACCATTTGTTTAATTTGTTAGTAGTTCTCCGAGCTGCCAAAATGCTGATTTGTTCAGCAATGGTTGAACACTTTGAAAATGAGAACATTATTACACAAAGCACAAAGCAAATGAAATACTCTGCGTATTTCCAGACTGACATTAGTATCACTGGTGTTGAATTAAACATACACTCTCTATCTTGCAGCCGCTTACATAGAATCACAGAACCCTTGGAGAGCTGGAAGGGACTTTCAAAGGTCATCTTGTCCATCTCCCCTGCAATGAACAGGGACATCTATCACTACTTCAGGTTGCCCAGCCTCGCTGTGGAAGTTTCCAGGCACGGGGCATCTACCACCTCTCTGGGCAGCCTGTGCCAGTGCTTACATCTCATTCCTCCTGGCAGATGAACAGGAACATGGTGGCAGTGAATTTTGCACTGTACTTTGCCTTCAGTCTGATTCCAGCCTGCAGCTGGCCGCAGTGAGTGACAAGCAGCCAGCTGCAGAGGTATTCCATTCTCACATGGAATAAGCCTAGAAGAAGCCCACATTAGAATCCCTGATCAGAAACAGAGCCATGCCTGTGAGCCTCTGCAATAGGGATGCCCCAATCTGTGCTGCTCCATTCTGTTGGATATCCCTGCAGCCCTGAAGGTCAGCCAGCCCATGAGGGACATTTCTGCACCATCACCTCCTGCAAGATCTCAGTTGTCTCCTCTCTTCTATACTGCATTGTGAGCAGTGCACAAAAGGCACGGATGCTTTTCAGACATCCTCAGCTTCTAAGCACCTAACATACTGCATGCACTACTCCATGTGAGCAATCTTTCCCCAGGCCTTTGGATTCTTTCAGCTGAAGGAGAGTAAAAGCATCCAGAAAAGCTGCTCTGAAGGAAGCCTGATGAACCTCTTCAAGAGATAAAGCTCATGTATCTAGAATGGTTAACTTCAGAAGCAAAAACAACAGCTCTAGGGAGATGGTCAGAACCACTGTGTGCTAACACTTACAGATTTTCTTTCCAAACATGGTTGCAGAAATCTCTTTTCTACTACCACTGCTTACTTTAGTGGTTTAATTAAGTGCCTGCTTCATGACAACCCACAGTTTCTGGCTAGACCACAGAAATTAAGCTGAACTAAAAGAACACTGTTTGAACAATGGGACATCAGAAGGTGGTTGAACTCTGATTTGAGTGCTACCAGATTTGTTTTACACTGTGCTTTCACCAACGTTATGACACTGGTCTACCACCACGTGCCTGCCAAAGCAGCAAGCTGATACAGTTGTTATTCATACATCATAAATATTAACACAGAAAAACATCTGGGGAAACCACCCCAGAGATGCATGGCAGAGGAGGCAGATGTGCAGTCCTTTGGGCTGCAGAAAGTGATCTGTCCATCTGTCACAGCTCCCACCTTTGGGCATGAGCATGGCTCACACAACACGTAATGCAGTATTTAGCAAAGCTGACTGACATGAAAACACCATGGAAGTGCATTATCCTCCCAGTTGGCCTAACACTTTTGAGGTATCTTACCTCTTCACTTTCTGGAATAGAAGCTGACTTTTAAGAAGAATGTGTGCTGCTCTGAATTCTGATGCAGGCCTTAGAGAGAGGAGGGATAGCTACAGCTCTCCCTTACCCCTGCATCAGGCTGCAGGCAGATATAAAGAGGGCACTCACAATATCTGAGAAAGAAATTTGCTTACCAAGACAGTGCCAGCGCAACTGTAGAAACAGCAGATTCTGTTGTTTGCTGATTGTTTTTATTCTCAATAAAAAACAGTAAAATCACCACACGGCTCTTGCATCTCTAGGAACCTGTAACACGTACCTGCTGTTCTTCCTCTCACTACAAACTGGGGTCAATTAGATCAGCAAGAGTACAGGCAGAAATGAAAAAGGGGATGCAGGAAAGACTACAAATGACACCACAAGCTTCCAAGTGAAGATGCAGGAGATAAGATCAGGGACAAGTCCACGTCATGAAAAATCTCCCTTTCCTCTCCCATCATGAGAACATTGCTTACTGGAGAGGGAATCTTAGAGACAATGTGAATGTGAAACTGCAGAATGTGCAGAATAGTAACCTGAAGCCATCGAGCAAGGAGGACCCCGGGAACTACAGGCCAGTGAGTCTCACCTCTGTGCCTGGGAAGATCATGGAACAG